ACTCGAATATCGATCAAAAACCAAAGGAAAACAAATTAGTTGTGCCTCCTGAGGCTCTTTGGGAGCCACCTTGGAGACCTCTTGGGGCGTCTTGGAGGCCTCTCAGACAGTCAGGGAGCAATTCTGGGGTGATCTCGGGCGGTCATTGGTCGTTTTCGTTGTCTGGAAACGCCAGGGCCGTCTTCGGACGACTTTACAAGGCCCCCAGCGCCACGGCAAGGCCCCCGGGCCCCCCGGTGCGAGGGCCCCGTCCCAGGCCCGGCCTCGTGCCCGCGGCAGGGCGTCCCTGGGCCGTCTCGGCGCCCTCGTGGGGACCTGTTGGGGCGACATTGGGTGTCTGAAATCCATCAAAAACCTAAGGACGAACAATGATTTTGGCGTCCCTTTGGGCCGTGTTGGAAGCCTTGTGGGCCGTCCGGAGGCCATCTTGGGCGCGTTCGAACGATATGTCCTCGTTTCGGGGCCTCTTGGGGGCCTGTTGCGGCCCTGTTCGTCTGTGTTGGGGCTTTCTTGGGCCGTCTGGGGGCGGCCCTGGGCTGTCTCGGCGCCCTTTTGGAAGCCTGTTTGAAGATTTCTGGGTGTCCTGGACCGTCCTCCTTCAACGTCGGCGGCACTGGCCGTGAGACTTCCTGGGAACATGATTTGTTGGGGTGTCATTGGGCGCCTCCGGAGGCTTCGGGGCCTGACGCGTTTCCGAGCGTGGCGGCAGGTAGCGCTGCTTGGGACTCTCGTTTTTTATCCTGGCAGGCGTTTATAAACATGGTTTGGGGAGAGGGCGGCAACCCGAGGATCATGTTCCCGGGAAGCTTTCCGGGAGCATGATTTGTTCGGCTCTCTTAAGAGGGGAGGCTCTGGGGGCTTACGGAGGGGCCCTATTTGGCCTTGTCGGCAAGCCTATTGGAAACATGGTTGGGGCGGTGGGCGGAAGCCCAAGGAATCATGTTCCCGGAAAGTTCTGGGAAATACGATTTACCGAGGTCGATCAGGGGGCCCGCAGGGGGCTTCCCTGGGGGGCCCTTGGGGGCTTATTGGGGCTTCCGGGGGGCCTCTTCGGAGCCTCACGGGGCTTCTTGGGAGCCTCCTGATGGCATCTGGGGGCGTCCTAGGAGCCTCTCAGGCCAGAGACCTTGAAATTTCGCGCTCTTCGGGCCCTCTTGGGTCGCTCTTGGGGCTCTCTTGGGGCGCTCTCGAGGCCCTGTTGAATTATCTGGGGAGCCTCCTGGGCCGTCTCTGGTCTTTCCTTGGGAGCCTCTTCGGCCGTCTTGAAGCGATCTGCAGGCCCTCTGACGCCGTCCGGCACCGTGGGGAGGCGGAACATGCGACAGCGCAAAAATGCGGGGCCCTTTGGGGGGGGCCTCTGGAAGCGCTCTTGTGACGTTTTGGCGGCGTCGTCGGCCGTCCTGAGGCCATCTTCGGCGTGTCCGGGGCCTCTTGGAGTTGTCTTGGCAATATTTAGGGCCCTCTTGGCGTGTCGTGGCGTGTTTGGGAGCGGGCCCGGGCAGTCCCGGAAGTCCTGGGGGCTGTTGAATGCTAGGTGTTGTCTTGGAGGCGGAGGCTGTTGAGTGCAGGGTGGCGCGTGCTACGCGGAAGGCGGACGAGCGGCCAGGCGGGCGGCGGGCGGGCGGGTGGCGGGTGGCGGGCGGGCGGGCGGGCGAGTTGTGATTTGAATGACTTCCTTAAAGGGTGCTTTCTTGCAGCGGGAGCTTGTTGAGTACAGGGTGTTGCCTTGAGTCGGGGGCTGTTGACTACAGGGTGTTGTCTTGGAGACTGAAGCTGTTGAGTACAGAGTGGTGCGTGCTATGCGGACGGCGGGCGGGCGGCAGGTGCCCTAGGTGGTGGGTCAGATTCCTCATGGGTGTTGGTTTGGATCTCGTGGTTGGCCTGTCGGGGACGTCGTGAAGGCAGTTTCGCAGCTTCTCGGTAGCCATGTTGAGACCTGGGACCTCCTCGGGGCTGTTGCGTGGCCTCTTGAAGCCTTGTTTGGGTTTCCTGGGTGCCTCTCGGAAGCCTCCTGGGGCCTCTGGGGGGCTCCTTGGGGCCTCCTGGGGCACTCTTCAAGCGGGAGGGTCGAATTTTGGAGTCGTGGTCCCCCTCTAGGGCGCATCTTGGGGCCGTTTTGGGGTTCTCTGAGGCGCCTCTAGGGCCGTCTGGGGGCCCTCTTGGGCCGTGTTGGGGCGCTCTTGGGGGCCTATGGAACCGGCCTGGAACGTCGGACAGCCGAAAAGGCTGGAAGGCCGAAATCTCTCCAAAACCTTGTTGTAAAATTGACGATTCTGGTCTCTTGAAGCGCTCGGGAGAGGCGTCTTGAAGCGTCGTGGAGTGCCTTGAGGGGGTTTATCGGGCCGTCTTGGGCCTATCTTAGGCGTCCAGGAGCGGTCTTTTGGCGACTCGGGGCCCGCTTGGGCCGTCTGGGGAGCCTCTGGAAGCCCTCCTGGACTATCTTGGACCTCCCCGGCCGCCCCGTCCCCCCCATGGGGGGTCTGGGCAGCTGTTTGTGGGCCCCGGGCCTGCCCCCCAGGGGTATATATATATATATATATATATATATATATATATATATATATATATAGAGAGAGAGAGAGAGAGAGAGAGATATAACATAACTCGCGCGCGCTTAGGTTCTAGCAGGCCCCGGGCCTTGACAATTTCACAGCTCCACTGAAGTAGGGTTCCTCTTGGGGCCTGTGGGGGTTTCTGGGAGCCCACGGCTCTGTCGGGGTTCCTGTCTGGACCCCGTCTTGGAGTCGCGTTGGGGGCCTGATGAACCAGAGCTTGGAGACCCGCAGGAAGACTGTCTGGACCGACGGCGACGGCCGACGGCGACGACGGTCTTGGGAGAGGCCTGGTGGAAGAGCTGTGTAAGAGCTGAGAGAACATGCGGGGTGGGTATCGGAAAAGATCGAAAAAGGATATTGGAATCCAATCGGGGTGGAATTTGGGGTGCGATCTGCCTCTTCCCCGCAGCTACACGGAGACCACGAAGGCGACGTCGCGACGACGACGACGACGACGACGACGACGACGACACAGACCATGAAGCCGAGACCTGTTTTCACGTCGCGCTCTCGCTCCTGCTCGCCAGGCCCCCACCACGCGAGACTAAAAAATCCGAAGTACGACTCGAGGAAGGGACGGGTCAATTGGGAGAGATTGTTCCATGCCGCGGGCGTGGAAAGGGGAAGGAAGGACGCAGGGGGGCGGCTGGGGAAGCGAAGGGGGGGACATGCGCGGGGCGAGAGCTCGCGGACGAGGGGGAAAAACGCCGCCCCCGCGCCGATTGCGCGGAAGCAAAGAGCAAGCGCGGCTCTCTTTGCCGAGTCGGGGGATCGGGGAGCTGGTCCGCGGGGGCGCCCATATTGGCCGATCCAACAGACGACGCGCTACATATAAAACAATTCGGCCGCAGCGAGATTGGAGAAGGACGATGACCGGGAGAGCGGCGCTCGGCTGAAGATCCGGAGTTGAGGGCCAACGGGTTTGCGCGGACGGTGGGAAGATCAGAACACTGCCGCCGCGCCAGCGCCAAATGCGCGGTGCCAGAGCGCAAGCGCGGCTCTGTTTGCCGAGCTGGGGGCTCGAGGGGCTCGCCCGCGGACGCGACCATATTGGCCAAGCCAGCAGACATCGTGATTCAAAACAATCAGGGCGCAGGGCGTGGGGAGATGGATGGTGGCTGTGGGAGTGGCGCTCTGTGCAACGACCGAAGCCGACAATCGACGATGATCTCCGATGGGGCCTAGGGTTTCGCCCTGGCCCCAAAAAACGCGGCACGTTCTCCCCCTCGCGCTCATCGCCCCTATCCCGAAGCAGGCCAGTGCCCGGGACGTTTGCTGGGGGGGCAGGGAGGCGCATCTTCTAGCCACGCTCGCGACGGAGATTCCATGGAACACGTTGTGGAGCAGGCGAACTGCATCGTCTCCAATCCCACAGGGGGGCCCCAAGTGGCCCGCGCCCGACCAGGGGTCCGACGACACGTGCTTCGGAACAGCTGAGCTGCATCGTCCGATATTCCAAGGGGGGGGGGGGGGGGCCTGACAGAGGACTCGCTGGAAGAGCGCTGGTGGGACGCGCTCCGTTGGCGGATGCGCCGGAGTGGAACGCCCGCTCTCTCGCGCCGTGAATGCGACGGGGGCCCCCTGAAACACGCCCTGGAGAACGCAAGCTGCATCGCCCGGAACTCCGCGGCGAGGGCGGGGGGGCCACAGATGCCCGCGCCCGACGGGGGGGCCGATGAAACGTGCCCGTAGGAGGTAAGCCGCCCAAGATGGCCGAAGTTCACGCCAGGAGGGCCCCGGAGAGTCCTGGATGGCAAGATCTTCCCGAACGTGCCCACGCGACCCTCGCAGACCGCCCTCTGACGGCGCGACGCTCGGCCTGCTCTGGAAAAGTTGTTGTTTCCTGTTCGTTAGGCTGGATGGGGGCGCGCGTAGCGCGATGAGTGCACTTGCCTGCGTGGCGTGGGAGGGGTTGTATAAGTCGCATCGGCAAGCTCCCGGCGCTGGCGCCCGAGTCTCGAAAAAAAAAAGCCCCCATGGCGCGCGCGCCCGCGCGCGACCACCATTGGCGCGCCGGCGCGATCGTGGTCGCGGGGGAGGCAAGCCAAGTAGGGGAGAAGCGGAGGCCGAGAGCGCGCGGCCTGGGAAAAAATAGGCCACGACGAGGTCGCAACTTCGTCGGCCTCGCTCTCTTCCCGCCGAGCGACGGGGCCCTCACTGCTCGCGCAACAGCACGCCTGCACCCCACCACACGTTGACCGCGCGAGGGATCGTGAACTCGGTGCCGCCCCTGCGCTTCTGGGTGCACGTGGCCCCCGCGCGCAAGAACGTCACCCGGCAGCGCGGGAGGTGCCGGATGGCCGCCGCGCACCAGACGGTCACGTTCAGCTTCTCGCCGGCGGCCTGCCGCAATGTCATGCCGCGGCGAGTCTCGTTCTTCGTGATCGGGTCGCCGGCGTCCAAGATCCACCCCGAGATGTTCAGCTACACGGTGCCGCCGAAGGCCTGCGGGATGTCCGAGAACGACGTGATGCGCGCGCTCCAGTCGACGGGCATTGGCGCTGTCGGCGGCGGGGCGGCCACCGCCACGGCGCACTGCGGCCCCTCGAACCCCGAGTCGCCCCAGGCCCAGGAGTAGCCCAGGGCAGCCTGAGCGGTCTGGTCTGGTGACAGCCACTGGGTCAGAGGCTGCGGCCCGACGCTGGGCCTCGCCATCCAGCGCGCCGACGCGGGCATCGCCACCGTCACCGCTGGCGCCTCGCAGAAGATTTGTTCCGCCTGGCCGGCGCAATGCCACAGGCCGAGACCCGCCTGTCGCGGGGGCGCAAGATAGGTTGCGGGGGGAGAGGGGGGAGTGCGGCGACGAACGCAGAGAGTGGAAGGGGGCGGGCAAGACCCCAGAAAACGCTGCCGAGGCTGCGACAGGAATATACTGCGATGGTCGTTTCTCCCCTGAGCCAGGCTTGGGCGCGCGATACGAAGGGGCGCAGCTACTGGATACTCCGGGCGCGTGGCGGCGGCCAAATGGATATGACACGCGGCCGATGACCGCGCTATTCCGAGCGCTGATTTGCCGTCGCAGCCATCGGGAATGTTTGGCGCCCCATCGGAAATGCTACGCAACGTCTGAGTATCTCATAGACAAGACGACCCCTCTGTCTGCCATGTCGGGAGAAGACGCAGCCTCCGCGTCGAGCGCGAGCCATGCCTCCAGCTTGGCGCGGCGAGTCAGAGCGGCATTTACTGCACGCGTTTCTTCGCCATGCCTGAATTGGACGGCTTGCTCCAGGGGCACATGCACAGGCAGGCGCTCCACTCGATGGCTGCGCCCGTGCATGGGGAACGCTAGGAGACGCCATGTGGCTTCTGGAGCGCAGACCCACCGACAATCGAGGAATCTTTGAACTTCATGTCGCACGTGCTCCGAACAAGCTCTGTCGGCCCTTGTAAGTATATGTATGAAGATACTTGATCGGGCAAAGGGAAATGCAAACTTCGACGTTCAGATGACAATCGAACGTCTCGAGGGGGTACGGGTTGCAAGGCACGACGCCACGAGCGTCGAGGACGCCGCTTTTCACGGTGCGCAGGGGCGCGGCCTCTCTACGCCGGTAGCGTGGGCACCCGTTGATGTTCACATTCGTGTCTGAGCGGAATAGCTTAGGACATTTCTTCGCGCACAGCCCGTCCAACATGCAGGGGCACTGGGGGTTGAGGGCGCCGCAGGACCCGTGAATCAGATGGCGGCCCACGAGCTCGTAGAGCACAGGTTGCTTCGACAGATCTGGCATCTCCGCCGAAGCCAACTGATCGACGTCAGCAGCAGTGCATGGTTTGTCGTCCGCTGCCAGGATGAGAACCGGCCTTTCGCCGCCACTAACGCCATAGCGTCTAAGTATAGCTGGCGAAGCGCTCTAGGGGAACCCCTGAACGAAGCGGGCAGCACGACAGGCGTTCCCGCGAGTTTGGGGGGGCCCGTTGCATGCGTCTCGCAGGACGATGACAGGTCAGGATTGACTTCGCTCTCTCGCGATGCGTCGCCCTCGTGTAAGCGGTCGAGGAGCCCGCGCAGTGACTCTACACGCAGTCTGTCTTGGTTGGCTACTACCCAGCTTAAGCGTTGGCTCTCGACCTCGGCGTAAGCGTCTACGACATACTGCTGGAATAGACGACCCGCGCTGCGCGGCAACTCTACGACCTGCGAGTCTGCGGGCCCCCGTTGCATCAAGCGGTGCGCGTAAAACTCTCGCCGGTATATATTCCGCACCGCGCGAGGGCCCAATGCGTCGGTTTGCAAGGCGGGGGAGTGGCCGATGGGTTCCTGCCACGTGCACCAGTGGATATGTGAGCGGATCGACATGTTCAGACAAGAATGGCACTTCCTGCGAGGCCGCGGAAACGTCGGATCGGCGAGGGAAGACGGACACGTAGCGTGGCGGGAGGGGCCCCTCTCCGACAATCGCGCAGGCCACTTCAGCTGCGGACGGCACATTATATTGGCGCATTATTATCGGCGCGGAGGACGCGCTGCGGCGCTAGGTTTCCGGGCACGGCCAGAGCTGCGTCCACTATGTCGCGCGTGGAACGGAGATGAGATGGGCAAGGATTCCCAGCAGTCTCCGCAGGCATATGCTTGCAGGTCTGGGAAAGCTTCAGCTCTTAGCGCAGTCGCCCCAGCAGGATCGCAGATGCACAATTGCGCAGACTTCGGGCGATTACCCGTCGCAGGATACAACGTGCCGATAGACCTGAAAGCGCGCCCGTGGTGGATGTAAACCGGCGGGCCTCTGCCGGACTGCAGCGCGCGGGATTGCGACGGCTCTCCCGCGGTAGTTTCGGAGTTGAACGACGCGAAGCCCATGGCGCAATTCCATGATCGTACATGTTGCATGAAATGATCGCGTCTGTGGCCGGTTCGGAGAAGCTCATCCATAGGGGCTGGCGCAGGGGGGGCGGGAACACCAGCGAGAGCGCCACGTCGGCAGCACGCGCCGAATTCTTTGCGGGCCCCAGTTCCGCGAGAGCATTCGGCATGGAGGTGTAGAGCGCGGCATCGAGGACACGCGCTCTCGAAATGGCCAGCGCGCGACAACGAGGCCTTCAACGCGCGCCCGCTGCACCAATCGCCTACGGACCACCAGCCAGCTCGGCGCCCCTGGCGGATACCAACAGCGGCTCCAGGCGTGGACCCCGCAAACCAGTTCTCGTGGTCGGCGCAAGCGGAGGCTTCAGAACACGGACGTCCCAAGCAGGTTAGCACGCATTTGCGACGGCACTATGGCACTCGGCACTCTGGCGCTGCGCGATCTCGCAAGTACTTGCGCACGAGAGCAGCGACCTGTCTCCGGACGACCTGCAGATCAGCGGCAACGCTCGTCCGTGGCGCGTTGTGGCGCGGGGACGCTTAGGAACGCGAGGCCGCTGCCGCCGCGGGCACGGCGGCGCGCTGCACGCGTTCACGACAGCAACCCAAGGCCTACATCGATTTAATTCCCCACATGCTTCGCGGGGTTATGGTATTCTTCCCTGCCGCGCCGCGCCGGCGACGCACCCGCGACGCTCACCTCACTCTTCCCCTCCTCCTCCTCACAGCACTGCTCAGCACAGCTCAGCTCAGGAGCACAGCTCAGCACAGCTCAACTCAGCACAGCACAGCACAGCAGCACCGCAGCACGGCACAGCACAGCACAGCTCACCGCACAGCAGCACAGCACAGCACAGCACAGCATACCACACAGGGCCGGCGCGCAGGGCCGCCCGCGCGCCAATGTCGCAGGGCCTAGCAGGCGCGGCACTTTCTCGACGCCACAAGGGGTGCGCTGGGGGTGGGGGCCCACCGCGGTCTCTATTCGCGCCAATGTCGCAGGGCCTAGCAGGCGTGGCACTTCCTCGACGCCACAGGGGGTGCGTTGGGGGTGGGGGCCCACCGCGGTCTCTATACGCGCCCATGTCGCAGGGCCTAGCAGGCGTGGCACTTCCTCGACGCCGCAGGGGGTGCGCTGGGGGTGGGCGCCTACCGCGGTCTCTATACGCGCCAATGTCGCAGGGCCTGGCAGGAGCGGCATTTCCTCGACGCCAAAGGGGGTGCGTGACGCCACAGGGGGCGCGCTGGGGGTGAGGGCCCTGTGCGTTGCAGGCCCCCAGGGCGCGGCAGGCGCGGCATTTCCTCGACGCCACAGGGGGCTTCACAGCAGAGATGGTACGTAGGTAGCGTAGCAGCCTCGACATTTTCTGGTTGGCCTGTTGGTTGGGGCGGTCTGGTTGGTCTGTTCTTGTCGGTCTGGTCTAATTGGTGTGCTCGGTTGGCCTGGTTGGCTCGCGTGGTTAGTCCGGCTGATTCTGGCTGGTGTTGGCATGACTAATATGGTTGGTCTGGCTGGTCTGCTTGATTGGCCTGGCTGGCTGGTCTGATTACTTTGGCTGGTTATGGCTGGAACGAATGGTCTGGCTGGTCTGGTCAGTCTGGCTGGACTGGCTGATCTGGCTGGTCTGGTCAGCCTCTCGTCAGGATGGCGAAGCGAGATGTGACATGGTTTGTGAACACACGTGACATAAGATAAGTATGTGGGGTTCCTCGGTAGCGTAATTATTTGTTGCGGCAGCCCGGAAAGGAGCATGCCGGCCGGCGACATCGTTCGCACATGCTGTTATTCCCTGGCACTGCGCGCCTGACTCCACGGGTCTCTCGGGCGCAGCAACCCTGCTGATCTGGGCCTCTGCCAGGAGGGCCGGCGAGAACGCATCGTTTACATTGCGTGTTTGGGCTCAGGGCTCCGACGCGGTACACGCAGCCATGGGCTCGATGAGTGCACGGCGGCCCTCTGCGCACGCAGGCGACGCAACGGCCGCCCATGGAACGGGCTGCAGCTACGCCAGAGCAATCAGGAGATTCGCAAGGGCGTTCAGCTGGCGCCAAAGATCGCTTGGATGTTTGCGATGTGCCCGTCGGGGGAGCCCTGGCGCAGCCCCGGCAGAGCCCTGCGGAGCCTGGGCTACTTCGACCGTCGCACCGACGCGTGGCGCACGGGAAGCAAGCGGAGGCGCACAGACAGCACAGCGCGTCAGCGACCGAAGCGACTACGTTCGCACAGCGTTGCGTGGAACAGAAGTGAGAGGGCCACGTTGGCGCGGCACGCGGAACTGACAGTGCTCAGCGGCGCACGGCAGTACACGTACGGTGCACAGAGGACACGTGGCGCGGAGGGCGGATGCCTCTCCAGCAGACGCGGTTGTCGATGTGCATCCTGGAGCGGTGCAGACGGCCAACTTGCTGACGGGACCTGCGCCCCCGTCAGATGTCGGCGCTGCTTCAATTGCGCTGGCGATCCCAGAAGCCCCGCCACAAGGCGCGCATAAGTCGAACGAGGCACGAGGAGCAAGGACGGCGTCCAGATTGGCAAGTCTGGCACATGTTGCGCACAGCGTCGCTTCGATCCTCGCTGCAACCGGGGGAGGCGCAGGCGAACTGACGAGCGGGGTTGTAAGGGCAACCTCGTCCAGCATGGCGGGCGCACGATGGAAGGGGTCCAGATGCTGTTTTCTTCGAGGATTTCACGCGGGCAGGGCAGCCCAGGGTGGCGAAGCGACAGGGAACGCATTCCTTTGAGCATTGATGACAGAAGCCTGACGACACTATTGATGGACAGGAGACGACATCCTACTCTTGCATTGCGACACAGGTTCCACTCTCGAGAGGAGTTGTGGCATGGATCACTGTAGTGCGTTGTGCAGAATGACGGGGGGACCTGTGCTTTCGGACGGCGGAAGGCTGGCGCAACGGGAGCGTTGCAAATTGGGTGGCCACATCGTGTCTCCGTCGCACTGCAATTTCTGCAGTATGGAAGGCGTTCCCGCGTGGCGGAACCTTCCTCGCGAATCCGAGTTTGCTTTCCTGTGCAGATTGGATAGTTATCACATGCGTGGCGCGGCTTTGGTGCGATCGCCGGCGGCATGGATGCGAATATGGAAGTGTCGGGAGCCGCGGCTACGCCCACAATATGAATCGCAGCCTGCAATGGCGTAGGAGTTAGCAGGTCAATTATGAACAGTAACTGCGGGGATCACAGTACCTTTCCCGGAGCAGAAATGTGATACGGCGCCTCGTGGGGCAGGATACAGCGCTGGCGACTGCGAAGCGCATCCCAGTCCCACCAGCCCTTTAGGGCGTAGGTGGTTTACAGAATTTCCTCTTACACCCCTCCGTCGTCCCCTTCCCCTCCCCATGGACCTGGACAAGGGAGGCCGCGACGCGTTGGGGCGTCCAAGATGGCCGAAGACGGCTCCAAGAGGACCTCAGAGAGCCCAGGACGCCGAAACACTATTCAAACACCGAGGTAGTGAGCCCTGGCCCTTCCATGGAGCGGAAAAACCTTAAGAAAACACAAGGAAAAGATAGCCAGGACAGCCCAAGGACGCCGAAACCCTTTAGAAACACAAAGGAAGTGAGGCCCGGAGGCCGGGGGCCGGGACAGCCCCAAAACGCGGAAACCCTGTAAAAACACAAGGAAAATGAGCCCGTCTCCCCATGGAGAGAGTCGAGGTCGCAGATTGCAAACCCCAGACCCGCCCCCCCGGGGGCCGGGACAGCCCCAGGACGTGGAAACCCTGTAAAAAACAAAGGGAAAGTGAGCCCCGGTCCCCCCATGGAGAGTCGAGGTCGCAGATTCCAGACCCCAGACCTGCCCCCCGGGATATATATATATATATATATATATATATATATATATAATATATATATATATATATATATGCATACATACATACATACATACATACATACATGCATGCATGCATGCATGCATGCATGCATGCATGCATGCATGCATGCATGCATACATACATACATACATACATACATACATACATACATACATACATACATACATACATATGTAAATATACATGTAGATGTACATATGTAAACACTTATACACATGCATGCATTCACACACACACACACACGCATTGTGAGATCGCTCCGCCGCACACACATACACACACACACACACACACACACACACGCGTTGACTAGAAGTGCGCGGCACGGACTTGGGCGTGACAAGATCGTCTTCTCGTGCCCGGCGGCGTGCCCCGTTCTCGTGAACGCGCGTTCCCCCCGTCTCTTACACGCTCACCGCGGCGACCGCGTCCGATGAGAATAGGCTGCGCAAAGATAAACTGTCGGAGGTCCACGAAGACTTCCTGGATCACCACTGGACCCGCCTCCCATGTGCGCCGAGCGCGCCAGGGGCGGGCCAGCATCGACCCAAGACATCAACGCGGACCTCCGACTGTTTATGTTCACGTATGCCGCGACCCATCCGCGACCCACTCACTACCCACACCGCGACACACCCACATTGCTTCAACGAAAGAGCTGGCGCCTGCGGCGAGCCCGTTGCACAACCTGTAAGAATTAGGCGCCTGCGCAGGGCATCTTCAGAGCCTCGCAGACTGCCGACGTGCACGCCGCCCCCTCACTCGTATCCGCAACTGCGGGGTGCTCCGTATACCGTTGTTTCTTCTTCGACTTTGCATCCACGGAGCCCGAGCTCTCCGCACCCGGGGGCCCGGGTCACGACGAGGAGTGTGCGGCGCGCGTGCTCCTCTCACGGCAGCAGCCCGGGGGGGAGGAGACCCGTCGAGGACGCCCTCGGGGCAGGCGCCCCCCGCCTCCCAGTCGTAGTTGACGCACTCCCACTCGACGCCCTCCTGGAGGGGGGGGGGGGGCAGGAGGACGGAAGGACACCCTCTGCCTGCCTCTCCTCCTCCTCCTCCTCCTCCTCCTCCTCCTCCTCCTCCTCCTCCTCCTCCTCCTCCAGAGCAAGCAAGCGAGCGAAACCCTAGGAAAGCTTCATACAATACACCACCACCAGCCCTGGCCAGGCCCATCCTAGGACCTGGACTGGTGTACAGGCCCTCCTGGCCTAGGCCTGGAGGTCTATACACCAGTCCAGGGCCCCAGGATAAACTTGGCCAGGGCTGGTGGCGGTGTATTGTTTGGAGCTCTCTGAAACCCTGGGACCCTGTCCACTGCAATCCGAGGCCCTCTGCGAACGCAGACCCGCGTCGGGCATCAATACACTCACAAACAGGACCTGGGTGACCCTCAAAGGCGTGCTGTCGGTCAGGTCGCCCGGAGGTGCGAGGGCAGGAGGACGGAAAGACACCCTCTGCGTTCTCAGGCCTGAGCTGCATCGAGTCGCGAAACCGGATCGGACCGGAAACGGATCGCCTCGCCCGCGCCCAGCTCTGGCTGGCCCCGGCCGAGGCTGGCGAGTCGAGGCGAGCGCAGCCGGCGAGCACGATGGCATCGGGTCGGATCGCGGGCCGCCCGGAGTGTGGGGTGCGGCCTCCAGCCCTCGCATCTCCAGAGCTCGCGGAGAGCTTCTCCTGTGCTGCCCGGCCCACCCCGTCCGGGCGCCCCGCGCAGGGAACCCGCCGGCCCCCTGCCAGCGCCTGCTTTCTGGCCCTCGGCGCGTTTTTCCGCGGCACGGTCGTGAGGCGTTCCGCTTCTGCTTCCCAGTCGGGTCTGTGCGGGCACGCAGTCGCTCTGCAGTGTCATTTCAGTCATATTTTCCTGAAGAGTTGCCAATCGCGCACTCTTCTGCCTTCGCGTCCCTCCGGACGCACGGCTCAGTGGTGGTGGTGGTGGTGGCGCGTTTTTGGTAAGGATCCGAACTCTATACACCGACGCTGTCTTCCAGCCCCGCACTGAAACTCGCAAAGGAAAGCGGATTCTGGTGTATACGGGATCCTGGTATACATTTCTCGTCGTTTCCCTTGAAAAGCGGGGGAACAGTATACGCCACACCACCCCGACGTCGTCCCCGACCCTCAACAAAAAATCCTGGGATTGAAAAGCAGCCCGCCACTGGTAACGTATACTTTCCAATTTCCGATTTGGGTGGCCCTGGAACCCGAGAGAAGGCCCCCGAAGTCCGAGATCGTGGCAATGAGCCTCCATCCTGACTTTAGTGCAAGGCGCTGGAGGTCTGGGCCCGCCAGTGCCCCCAGCTCCCCAGGACGAGGGAAAATGGGTACGGCCCCCTGCGCAGATACTCCAGGCCCCCTAGATGGCTTCGGAGCTGATGGGGTCGGAGGATCGTGCCGCATCGACGATGCATCGGCGATGCGGCTCGATGTGGAGTTCGATTTGCTTCACGTCGACGTCGCCGATGCATCGCCCACGTCGACGATACATCGCCGGTGCATCGCCGATGCATCGCCGATGCATCGCCACTGTATCGGCGATGCAACGCGATCCTCCGACCCCATCTATTCCGACCCCATCTGGGAGGCCTCTAGATATAGAGCGCGGACATGTTGGCTCCCTGGGGCAGGCTTTTGCCCAGTCTCGGCCCTGCGGCCAGCAGACAGGCGGGGGAGGGGGGGGGCGGGCCGAGAGGAACCAAACAGGACATGCCACATGCTGGTCCTCCGACACACACACACACACCGATTGCAAAACGATACATGCCCAGAGCTCCGACGTCGGAAAAAATGTACGGCAACCCCGCCGTCCCTTCCTCGACTGCGGACTTCGGCGGTGGACAAACCTCCCTTTAGTACACCTCCCCTTAGTGAAAACGGCCTGGGACCGAAACCGACGGACCTGGACCCGCAAAAACGACGGCCGCGACGCCCTCTCGCGAACCGAAAACGGCCAATCCCTGAATCGACGTGTCCAGGCAGGAGGCCCATCCACCCCCGAGGTCTCTGGAGATCTGCCCCGAGATGGCGGCCCGGAGCGGGCAGCCCGTGCCGGGCGAGCGGCCGAGCGCCCCAGGGCCCCAGGAGGGAGGAGCTCGCGCCGCTGGAGGCCACGGGCCTCCCGAGGCCCTGGGCCCCCAGAGGGACCGCCTGTGCTGTGCGGTGGAGGTCCTGCGGAGGCCCCGGGAGGCCTCCCGCCTCGGGCGGCCTCCCCGCGAGGCCAAGCGGGTGCGCCAAGGCGCCCACGGCCCTGGCCCCTCGAGCCTCGAAGCTCCTCCTCCGCCAAGAGATGCCGCCCGGATGGGGTCCGAGCAGACGGGGTCGCAGGATCGCGCCGCATCGCCCATGCGCATCGCCGGCGCATCGGCCATGCATCGTCAGTGCGTCGCCGACGTCGGCGTGGGGAAACACGGGCTCCGCATCGAGCCGCGTCGCCAATGCATCGGCGATGCGTCGCGATCCTCCGACCCCATCAGCTCCGAACCCATCTAGGAGGCCTAAAACCAAGAAGCCTCGACCCTCGATCCTCGCGTCTTCGTCCCAGCTGTCTCCTCGTCCTGCTTCGGCGCCGCGACGGCAGGCGCGGCGGGCGCCGCCTGAGGGGGGGGGGTGCGCAGGGCCGCGCCGCCACCAGCGCAGAGGCCCCACTCCCAGAGGCGCTGTCGCTGGGGTCGTCGGTCCCGGGCCCCCTCGCGTCGCAGCACGAGTACCGTCGGGACGTTGATCTAAGGAACCCTAGATCAGGAACGAGGCCCCTTTCTCCCTGAACTTAAACTTCGATTTCCCGTAGAAAACCTCTGGAAAACCTTAGGCAAACTGTGACACATTCCAGGAACACCGAGCCCCTCCCCAACGAAAAGGGCTCCTTCTTCAGCGCCCCGGCTGTACGGCTGGGGGCGATTGGCCATTTTAGGGATCGGGGGGCCCCTGCTGGGCCGAGGGGCCGTCCCGCAGGAGAATCCAAGAGGAAACACCGGTCCCAAAGGGAGGGGTCCAGACCTCCGGGCATCCGTAAAGAATCACGACATCGGGGGTCTGGGGTGTCGTCGTCGCCGTCGACGTAATATTTCAGACGCGCCCGAGGCCACATCATCACAGGTGCTGTCTGATACACTGTCACCGATTGGCGTTCTGAGGGTCTGAAATAGACAGAGATGCAATTGACTCGGCCTCGGGCCAAAAAGGAATTTCCTCTCCATGCTGCCAAACACACGGCTAACGCTCGCGATTCGAATATGGTTGGCCACCGCGAAAGCGGCCATAACTCGACCCTGCCGCCCCCCTTGCCGCATGCAGCTACACAACGAGGCTGGCACAAACCTGCGCAATCCTCCGCATCATACTTTTTCGCCACGTCGTCGTCATCGTCGACGGAATCCTGCTCGTCCTACTTGCGATACCCCGCCCAATCCTCCACCTTTTTGTTCCTTTGTTTGTCGACCTCCTGTTCTTCCCGTCATTGTTCCTGCTCTTGGACCCGATCCTTACCCCAGGATTCATCCTCGTCGTGGACCGTCTTTGACGGTCCCTAACCCGCTTTAATCTAATAAAAAAACAACGCTGGCGTGGATAAGACCACGACGCGACGGTCTAGGCGCTTGAATGCAAAATCATCTTGCCCTGGAGGAAGCACGTGCGAACACCAAACGGCCCACAAATACGCATGGGAAGCACGACCGCCATTGTGGTAGCACGTTCGCACAGTGGCTTTTCCGTCACCCTTTGGCTTGCGGCCTGGCGGAACGGCGGAACGCCACGCGAGCAAGCCTGCTAGCTGCTCGGCCCCGCGCAGGGCATGGGTGGATAATTCACCTACTACCCAGACGGCGAATCTGACATATGATAAGAATCGGGAGCTCGTAAACATGAACGCGCTGCCATATCGGAAAAGAAGCAAAAGGGGGAGGCACGGAGAGGGGGAGAGAAGGGAGAGGAGAGAGGGGCATCACAACTTCATCATGCAGAACTCCGTGTACTGCTTCTCCCTGTCCAGCGTTTGCAGCGTCTGCTCCAAAGAATCCGCGCCGACTTGCGCGCAGAACAGGCTGATGTCATCGATCCATTGCGGCGGTGGTCAACCTCGCTCTCGCTCGTGAGCCCCGAAGAACGGGCGCCCACTTTCGAATTCTTCCACAGAAGAATCGGCGAGCCAACCACCACCTCAAAACACGAGGCGTTTGTTTCCGACACGTTTGGAAGCTGTCGAGGAAAGCATGCTCGACGCACGCGTCTGCATCCTACGAAACGCGCCTTACCTGCTCTCCCCCTCCGCTCGCCTCCGCCCAGTCATTATGTCGGAGCACCTTCGCCCGCGATCCCAGGAGCACGGCGTCGTCCTGCGGCTTCAGCGACAAGCTGGCCAACCCATGCAGTAGGACTGGCAGGACTGCAGAGTCAAAAGGCTTGATGTAGTAATAGGCGTCGCCATGCTGACTCATGAGTACATGGCGTGTCTTCTGATAGTGGTACCACGCTGTTGATATCCTGTTCTTGGCGGCACGTGTTGCCCTGTTCTCTGACAGGCTGAAGGCTCTCCCCAAATATGCATGGGGTTTGGCCCGAGGCAACACGTGCAAACAGCCGCCAGTAATCAATTCGATGTCGCACAAGTGTCTTGGGAGGATAAGATATTCGTCTTCGTGGCGCTCAGTTGCAGCCCTACCGCTTGAACTCCGCAACTAACAGAACCGCATAATGTTGGCGTCCTCTAGGGAACGGTCATAAAGAAGAACACCGTCTGCAAATCGAATGTTCGTGAAGCGCTCTGCCTCTCCCGGGAATTCCCGTTCCGCCGTTGTAAGGCGGAACGACCACCTACCGAACACCATCACCACTACAGCGTTGGAAGAAGAGGAAAAGAACACTAAAGACACCGCCCTGGCGAACCCCCCGGCAACGCATCGAGTTATCTGCGCGGCTTGGTGATGCCAGCGCGCGCTTGAAGACTGGAGACACCTTTCCTCCAGCCGACAGCGGGTCTGCCTCGGCGTCCTGGGCCCGCAGGCTCTCGGGGCTAAGATGACAAGCTGCTGACCTCGAAAATGCTGTGTCTCACCTCTGCGCAGCGATGCCAGACCACCGAGCTCTTGACAGGCTGGCACTGAGTGGGTCGGACCTGCCCAGTGAAGTGAGAAAAGATCGCCCAACGCTCAACAGGCTGGGACTGCGTGGATCGGAGATGCCCTGCCCCAGTCAAACGCGACGGGGGTGGAGCTGTGCCAGCGGGGGCCAGGCAACCTGGGTCTGGCACCTCTGTTCAAACTTCAAAAAGATATGCGTGAAGGCGTTTCGAAAACGGCGAACCGCGAGAAGCGTCCTCGCAAGAAAATCGAGCCAGGTTCTGAAGCCGGTTCGAAAGAGTAGAAAATCGGTTCGAAACAAATCGAAAATGATCGTTCCGTACAGGACTTCCTCGACGACATGATTCGAACCTGATTCGAACTCGGCTCGAAACAATAGAAAGTGGAGCGTTTCGCGCAGTGCTTACTCAAAAATGGCTTGGAACCAAGTTTGAAAAAGATTCCAAACAATAGGCAAGCGAGCGTTTCGTGCTGGATGTACTCGAAACCCGATTCGGAGTCGGTTGGAAACAACTTGAAAGCGAGCACGTCGCGCAAGACCCCCTCGATCAAATGATTGGATCTTGGTGTCTAGGAGATTTGAAACCAGCTAACCAAGAGCAACAGAATTGCAAAAGTGGGTCAAACTTTAATCGCGCCCACGTATGTCGGTCGTGTTTCGTTTAGCCAGCGCCCCGATCCATTTGAACTGCCCCTCCAGCAACAAGCTACTCATTGATGCAACGTCGGCCTGCTGCAAATCATAATCATTGCTGACATGAACCAGCTCGATGTCCTAACCTCCGCGGAGGAAAGGCACAGGTCATGCAAATAGCAAAAGAGCATGCTGGCAACACAGGCGCTAAAAAATCTCACATGTGCCGGTGGGAGAGACCAGACGGAGAGTACTTTCTCTCGAATTCTTCTCGCGCGGCCCCAATGCGGCGATTGCCCTCTGAACTCGCCGACCCATCCGCCGCGGCCGTGCACCACAAATAGATTCGTCTCTTAGGATTGAAGACGTCCCCGGCGGGCGCGCTGATGCTAGCGACGTCTGTGAAAGCCACGAGTTCCAATTTCTTCCAACTGGAGCCTAAATCGTAGATGCTGACCGCCCGACGCACGCAGCGCATGCACTTCGCTGTCTGCCATTTGTGCCTCGTAGAACCGAGCGGACTTCCGAAAAGGCTGTCCCTTCCGTTTCTGCTCAATCCGCGGGCCCCGCACGCCTCGACACTTCCCTGGGGGGCAATTTCTCATCCTGGACCGATTTGTTATGGCCCCGGGGCCAGAAACCGGCCCCCGGGACGCCGAGACCGAAGGAACCGATCGCCGGGACTCAACGAGTACGTGGTCGCGAGGTCTGGCTCCTCCTCCTCCTCCTCGTCTTCTTCTGCTTCTTCTTCTTATTATTGTCATTATTATTAGTATTATTCTTCTTCTTATTATTATTATTACTATTACTATTATTGTTATTATTATTATTATTATTATTCGTATTATTAGTATTATTCTTAGTATCAGTATTATTAACATTATTCTTATTCTTATTAGTATTATTATGATCTTTATTACTAGTATTATCAGTACTATGATTACTAGTATGCGTCTTATTGTTATTCTTATTGGTATTATTAGTAGTATTAGTATTCTTATTGTTATTATTAATATTATTCTTCTTATTCGTATTATTACCATTATTATTATTAGTAGTAGTATTATTATTAGTATTAGTATTATTATTATTATTATTATTATTATTATCCTTCTTATTCCTCATCCTCCTCCTCCTCCTCCTCCTCCTCCTCCTCCTCCCCCTCCTCCTCCTCCTCACACCCTCCTCCCTCGTCCCTCCTCCCTCGTCCCTCCTCCCTCGTCCGTCCTCCCTCGTCCCTCCTCTTCACTTCCTCCTCCCTCCTCTTCACTCTCTCCTCCCTCGTCCTTCCTCCTCCGACCTCCCTCCTCCATCCTGCCTCACCGTTCCTTCCCCCTCCGCCCCTTGGCCGCCCCTCCCCGCTCAGCTCGAGGGCCTCGCCGTCCGCGCGAGACTTGCAGCACCAGCATGGGGAGCAGGGCGTGTCCTCACCGAAAAAGCGGTACTGGTACCTGCCGCGAGGAGTGGAGGTGGAAGGTAACGTTCCACTCCTCCTCCTCCTCCTCCTCCTCCTCCTCCTCCTCCTCCTCCTCCTGCTCATCACCATCAACATCATCATCATCATCATCATCATCATCATCATCATCATCATCATCATCATCATCATCATCATCATCATCATCATCATCCCCTCCTCCTCCTCCTCCTCTCATCATCATCATCAGCATCATCAGCGTCAGCATCAGCATCATCCTCATCATCATCATCAGCATCATCATCATCCTCAGCATCATCATCATCATCATCACCATCATCATCATCATCTTCATCATCATCATCAGCAGCATCAGCATCAGCATCATCACCAGCATCATCATAATCATCATCAGCATCATCATCAGCATCAGCATCATCATCATCATCATCATCATCATCATCATCATCATCATCATCATCATCATCATCATCATATCATCATCAGTATCAACAGCATCATCATCATCATCATCATCATCATCAGCAGCAGCAGCAGCAGAATCAGCATCATCATCATCAGCATCATCATAAGCAGCATGATCCTCATCAGAATCAGCACCCTCATCATCATCATCAGCAGCAGCAGCAGCATGATGATCATCATCATCATCATCATCATCATCATCAGCAGCAGCAGCAGCATCATCGTCATCATCCTACTCTTCCTACTCCTCTTCATCCTCCTCCGCATCATCATAATCATCATAATCAGCATCAGCATCATCATCATCATCATCATCGTCGTCATCATCATGATCAGCAGCATCATCATCAGCATCATCATAAGCATCTTCATCATCATAAGCATCCTCATCATAATCATCATCATCATCATCATCATCATCATCATCATCATCATCATTATCATCATCATCATCATCATCATCATCATCATCATCATCATCATCATCATCATCATCATCATCATCATCGCCACCGTCAGCATCATCAGCATCAGCTCCATCAGCAGCAGCATCATCAGCAGCAGCATCAACATCATCATCAGCATCATCATCAGCAGCATCATCATCGGCATCATCATCAGCATCACCACCACCACCACCATCATCATCATCAGCATCACCAGCATCATCATCATCAGCAGCATCCTCGTCATCAACATCAGCAGCAGCAGAATCATCATCAGCATCAGAAGCATCATCATCAGCGGAACATCATCAGCGGCATCATCATCATCATCATCATCATCGTCATCATCATCATCATCAGCGGTATCATCATCAGCAGCAGCATCATCAGCAGCATCGTCATCATCATCATGTTCCTCCTCCACCTCTTCTGATTATGCTTCGTGTTACATGAATACTGGTTCCTCTAAGTATTACGCATCAGATTCTTACTCTTCGTCGTATTCGTAACATTCGCATTCTTAGTATCAGAGTGAGCGGGCCGAACGTTCATTCGTTGTCCCTGCGCGCGTGGCTAAATAATGAATTCGTGGTGAAAAGTATGCTTGTTGCGCTGTTGTTGTTGTTGTCGTTGTTGGTGTTGGTGTTGTTGTTGTTGGTGTTGGTGTTGTTGCTCCTGCTGGTGTTGCTATTATTATTGGTAGTATTATTATCAATAGTATTGTTATTGTCAGTGATGGTGTTGTTGATGTTGTTGCTGTGTTTGTTGTTGCTGTTGGTGGTGGTGGTGTTGGTGTTGTTGGTGTTGTTGGTGTTGTTGTTGGTGTGGTTTGTCGTTGTCCTACCCGCGACCCATCGACGACCCACCCCGCGACCCACCCGCGACCCACCCTGCGACCCAACCGCGACACACCCGCGACCCACCCCGCGACCCACCCCGCGACCCACCGGCGACCCACCCAGCGACCCATCCGCGACCCATCCGCGACCCACCCGCGACCCACCTTGCGACCCACAAGCGACCCACCCCGCGACCCACCCTCAAGGGAGGAAAACCGCCTGGACCCGACAATTAACGTTTACTAAACGGCCCTGGGCGTTGACTAAACAGCCCTGCCCTGTTCGATTCATTCCTTGTGTGCGTTGACGAAACGGCTTCGCTTGTAGGGGTGATTATTATGGGTGGATTGGCTTACCCTTAATTGAGTTGGCCACTCCACCCAAAAAAAAAGAAATTTTGCCCGCGCGCTCTTGCAGAATCTTTCAAAAACCAATGGTCTTTCAACATTCCTGTCACATGGGCCTTCACGGGCCACTTTCGCTCGCACGTCGAACTAACTCAACAACCTCCGCGCGCTTGCCAGACGCGCTATCCCTTGTAAATAACACCATAAGGCGCACATGCGCGCGGCCTCCGCGCGCGCATGCCGAAATCCCCCCAAACACACTGTGGCTTCAACAATTTCAAAATCGGACTTCAATAATTCATTGGAGATAATACCACTTGCGCATTGGAAAGTTACGAAAATCTGTTCGCGCGTTTGCATAATCATTTCAAAATCCAATGGTTTATGAACATTCATGTCACGCGGGGCTTCGCGGGCAACTTCTCGCGCGCACGCCGAACTCATTCAACAACTTCGTCGCCGTGGTCGTCGTCGTCGTCCTCCCCGTTGTCGTCGTCGTCGTCGTCCCCCTCGTCGTCGTCGTCATCGTAGCCGTCGTTGTAGTCGTCGCCGTTGTCGTTGTCGATGGGTAATCGCAGTCACGGCTTGAAGAGGTCTTGCGACCAAATTGCGGGTGGGTGGGTGGGATGTTTGCACGAGTGGGTCCGGTGGGTCCGGCGTGTCCGGTATGTCCTGTGTGTCCGGTGTGTCCGGTGTGTCCGGTGTGTGCGGTGTGGCCGGCGTGTCCGGTGAGTCCAGTGAGTCCAGCGCGGTGGCTGGGGCAGCAGGCAGGACCATTATGTCCTCTTCCTCTTCCTCCTCCTCCTCCTCCTCCTCCTCCTCCTCCTCCTCCTCCGCCGCCTCCTCCTGCTCCTCCTCCTCCTCATCATCATCCTGCTCCTCCTCCTCCTCCTCCCTCCCCCTCCTCCTCCTCCTCCTCCTCCTCCTCCTCCTCCTCCTCCTCCTCTCCCCTCCTCCTCCTCCTCCGCACTCCTCCTCCTCCTCCCTCCTCCTCCTCTCCCTCCCACCTCCCTCCCCTCCCTCCCTCCCTCCCTCCTCCCTCCCTCCTCCTCCCTCCTCCCTCTCCTCCTCCCCCTCCTCCCTCCTCCCTCCTCCCTCCTCCTCCCTCCCTCCCGTCCTCCCTCCTCCCTCCTCCCTCCTCCCTCCTCCCTCCTCCCTCCTCCCTCCTCCCTCCTCCTCCTCCCTCCTCCCTCCTCCCTCCTCCCCTCCCTCCCTCCCTCCCTCCTCCCCCTCCTCCCTCCCCTCCTCCCTCCTCCCCTCCTCCCTCCACCTTCCCTCCTCCCTCCTCCCCCCCCTTTGCTCCCTCCCACCTTCTTCCTCCATCCCTCCCTCCATCCCTCCCCCCCTCCCTCCCTCCCTCCCTCCCTCTCCTCCGCCCTCCCGCGCTCCGCCCTCCGCCCTCCGCCTCGCCCCCCGCCCCCCGCCCCCCCCCCGCCCCCGCCCCGCCCGCCCCCCGCCCCCCCCCTCCGCCCTCCGCCGTCCGCGCCCTCCGCCTCTGCCCCCCGCCCTCCGCCCTCCGCCGTCCTCCCTCCTCCTTCCTCCCTCCCCCCTCCTCCCTCCTCCCTCCTTCCCTCCTCCTTCCTCCCTCCTCCTCCTCCTCTCTCTCCTCCCTCCTCCTCCTCCCTCTCTCCTCCTCCTCCCTCCTCCCTCCTCCCTCCTCCCTCCTCTCCTCCCATCCTCCCTCCCTCCCTCCTCCCTCCTCCTGCCTCCTCCCTCCTCCCTCCTCCATCCTCCCTCGTCCCCCCTCCTCCCTCCTCCCTCCTCCTTCCTCCCTCCTCCCTCCTCCCTCCTCCCTCCTCTCCGGCCAGTCGCGGGGATGGCGCCCCCACTGGCTCTCTGGGGGCCGCCCAGAGGGGACCGTCCACGATCCAGCGCGCCTCGGGCCAGCCTCGTCTTGAGGCAGGCCCTGGGATGCGACGCGGGCCGAAGGCTGCCCGCGCCCTCTGCGGGGGGGAGCAGGAGGAGGGGAGCAGCAGGGGCGGCCGGGAGGGGAAGGGGGAGGGGCCGGGGGGCGGGGGCCGTCGCGGTGGGCGGGCGGGCAACCAGGGTGGCCGCGGAAGCCGTGGTCGTGGTGGTCGAGCTGGTAGTGGTCGAACTGCTGGTCATCATGGTGGTCGTGGTGGTCGTGGTGACCGTGGTGGTCGTGGTGGTCGTGGTTTTAGTGCTGACGGCCGGCCTGGTGGTGGCCGTGGTGCTCGCGGTGATCGTGGTGGTCGTTGGTGGTCGTGGTGGTCGTGGTGGTCGTGGCCGTGGCGGTCCAGGCGGCCCAGCTGGTGGTGGTCGGGGTGGTCGTGGTGGTCGTGGTGGTCGTGGTGGTCGCGGTGGCCGTGGTGGTCGTAGTGCTGGCGGGTCATGTAGCACGCACTGAGAATCACCTCGGCGCTGCCCACAACCAACGTGCGCTGGATGCGGCGCCACGCGGTGGCGATGACCGCTGACCGCTCTGCTTCAGGCACGTATTTGCCGTACGAGCGGACAAATGAGACGAGCTCATCCGCCGGCCGCCCTCCCGTCTCCAGGACAGCTGGGACCAGCTCGCCGCCCGAGGGGGGGTAGCGGTTCCGTTTGACGCCCACCGCCTGCGACGCGGCCAGCCCGTCATTGTTGGATCTTGCCCACCTGCGCTCGAGGTTGTCAGAGTGCGCGCAGGTGACAGACAAGTCAACATAGATAGGCTGTCCGGTGGTCGCGTCGCGGGTAGCCACGTCGAGGCGGGCTTCTTCCAGCTCCCCGGTGACTGGGTCCACACGGTCCCACGCAGGGGCACGCTTCTCGGTGACCGCCATGTGGCCCGTCTGCGCCTGGTGGAAGGGCGCACTCCAGTCTCGGAGGCTGTTGTGGCGGTGGTCGCGAGAGCCCCCGCAGCCGCATTTCAAGGGGTGCCAACCCTTGGGGTCCAGGGGCGCACCACATATCGTG